TGTGAGATTTGAGGCTGGGGTGAGGAGGGCCCTACTCGAGGCCCAGAAGGGGCTAAACGGGAAGCAGTGTCCCTGGGGGACAGCCAAGGAGGAGAAAGAGTCAGGGGAGGCTGAGGAGGTGTGTCTGCTCTCTCTCTTCTAGAACTCCAAACAAAACCCAACTGGTATCCACACTGAGAAGCCTCTGCCTCTGCCTCGGTGAGGGGTCTGTGGATAAACCTTAGGGGGTCTGTGAACCTCTTCAAAGTGGCAGTGTGAGCTTCTCAAGAGAGTCCCAGGCCGGCCGGATGCAGTGGCTCACACCTGTAATCCTAGCACTCTGGCAGGCTGAGGTGGGTGGATTGCCTGAGCTCACAGGTTCAAGACCAGCTCGAGTCAGAGGTAGACTTCGTCTCTAAAAATAGCCAGGTATTGTGGCAGGCACCTGTAGCCCCAGAGATTAGGGAGGCTAAAGGCAAGAAAATCACTTAAGCCCAGGAGTTTCAGGTTGCTGTGAGCTATGATGCCATGACACTCTACCAAGGGTGACAAAGTGAGACTCTGTCTCAAAAAAAGAAAAAAAGAGTCCCAGGCCGAAAAATGGCCAAGAACCCTCAGAGTGAGGGGTGTTGAATTCTCCTATTTCAAAGTCCAGTACAAGGCTCAGCACCTGTAGCTCAAGCAGCTAAGGCGCCAGCCATATACACCAGAGCTGGCAGGTTTGAATCCAGCCCAGGCCTGCCAAACAACGACAACTACAATCAAAGCCCAGTACAAGCCCCTTTCCCTGCAGGGTGTCCAAGGGGCCCCTCCCTGACCTGTCCCCAGGCCTTTGCCTGTGATGTGCCCTCTCCCTGCAGCGCACTCCCCTCAGGCTTTCTCCTAGTAGAGTTCTCCAGACCCTGGAGGTCCATCTCTACCCCAACTCCCCTGCGGAGCCCTTCCTGATCCCTCCTGCCAAACACATTTAACCTGCAGTGATAACGGACTGTCCATCCTCTCAACAGATGGCTCCCATGCATCTGTGAGGGCAACCAGACAATAGGAACACAGAGGGGCCTGGGCCCCAGGCCCTGCCCCTTAGGAGCTCCACGGTCCAGGGTGGGAAACAGACACACAGCAACCTAAGGCAGGAGAGGCTGCCCAGGAGTGTGCACAGTGCTGAGGGAGAAGCCCATGGCGCATGGGGAAGGACTCAGGGAAGGGCATTCCCAGCAGAGGGAAAAGCAAGAGCAGAGAAAGCCGTGTTGAGGGGCGAGGCCTGCTGGGGAAACATGAGAGTTGTACGTGCTCCCATCATCACATCTGCCTCACGGATGCTTGTTATGGGTCCTAGAGGCAGAGACCTAACATTCCCAGCTCCACTAAGATGGGCCATGCTGGATAAATGGAAGGAGAAGCACACGGCAGGTGGGTGGCCACCACATAGGCCATTCCGTTTTTCTGAGGATTCCTGAGAAGCAATTTCATGGCAAAGTCCCACAGGTCAGAGAGCCCTGAAAGTCAGTCCCCTGTACAGAGGCTAAGAAGACACAGGTCACATGCTCTAATTACCCTGCCTGGATTCCTGGGAGGTGCAGCCCTGTTCCTGCTGAGATCCCAGTAAGAGGCTGGCTTAGTGTCATCAAATATCATATGTTTTAAATAAATATCAGCAGTAAATGATTAATGTGTACCAGGAACAGAGTACCGATGCTATCATAAAGTACACAGCAATGCTGCAACTGTCAGAGGGCTCATGCCGGAAGAGCCAGGGCCCCGTGCCATATGTCACCAAGGAAGGACCAGGGGGCAGCCCAGGCTGCAGAGCCCCCACGGCACAGGGGCCCTGACGTAAGAGAGTAAGCTGGTCCTAGAGCCAGGTGCTGGCATTTGAGTAACTCCTGACCAGATATGTGACCTCAGACAAGTTACTTAAATTCTACAAGCCTGTGTTTCCTCATTCACAAGAGGGGTCACGATGACCCCAACTCCAGGAATGTTATGAGTTAATGTTTAGTGCCCAACATGCAGCATGAACTGAGAAACCACAGATAGCTGCCACTGCCAGTGGTATCCGCCTGGGTTGTCTCCCTCCCAGCAGGGCTGCTATGGACTCATAGGCCTTAGGGAACAAAACTGGAGAACTCAGGAGATCTGATCTCACTGCCCACCCAGAAGCTGAGCCTGACAGCTCATGACAGCAGCAGCAAAAGAGCGACAGGGCACCTCCACCTGGAGTGGCAGGACCTTGATATCTGCTCCAACAAAGTACTTTGGGGATAGTCCAAAGGCCCCCAGGGAAATAGGGAGAAGAGACATTTAGAGCGCACCTGAAGAGGAAGACGAGGGCACCAAAACTTCTCTGCACAAACTTCAAGCACAGGTCCTACTCTCATGGGGTCTGTGCCCTGTCAGGAAGGTGGGCTACCCTAGGCAGGGGTGGGGTGCCTTGGGGACACACAGCAGAAGCACCTTCTCAAGCCTGCACATCAGAGAGGGCAGGCAAAGGAAGAGAAGCCTTCCAGGCCAAAGGGAGAGCCTGGACAAAGGTCTGAAGCCCAGGGAGGCACAAGCTGAGGCCAGAGACACAGAGGCCTGATCACACGGGGCCCCCGAAGCCTGTGGAGCCCCTGATGTGTTAATAGAAAGCCCTTGAAGAGTTAAGCAGGGGAGTGACTGATCACATATGTTCTCTGGAAAGAGCACTGTGACAGCAGCTCAGGAGAGGACAAGAGGACAGACCGTAGGCTGAGCAAAAGGCCAGGGGGCTCAGTGCAGCAGAGGCCATATGTGTAGTGACCATAGTCTGGAGAAGATTGCCAGCAGCAAAGTGGACAGTGACAGAACCTCAGGTTTCAGAATAGTCTGTGTCTATCTGGAATATAAGTGACACATCCCTCCCCTGCAGTTAGCTGTGGCCACTGACTGGGTCCTGGCCAGTGAGATTTAGGTAGAAGGCATGTGTCTAGCTTCTAAGAAGTATCCCCAAAGAGGGAGAACATGCCCTTCCTCCTTCCCACAAGCTGGAAAGGTGGGTGTGATGGCTGGATCTAGTACAGCCATCTGGGATGATGCCATTTGCTGCAATGGAAATGTTTGAGTGGGACTAGGTTAGGGAAGAGAAGATGAAAAAGACTCTGGAGCCAAGTTAGCAATATCAGGAATTTCAAGAGAATGGGTTTAGCTTGAACCCCTTCCCCCCTCAATTCTCCTTATTCTTTCTAAGTCCATGGAAATAGAACAGCAGCACAGACAGAGAAATGGCCTGGGAAGCCGAAGACAGGTTCTGTTTCTCCACCTGCTTTCTGTGCAAACTAGGATGAATCGCTTATCCCCAAGCCTCAGTTTTCTCATCTATAACATGGGATGCTGCTGTCCCAGCCTACCTCTGTGGGTTGGTGGAGGACATGTAAAAGCATTCTGCAAACTGGAAAGCACTGTCCAATTAAGGGTAGGTACAGCTGAGGTGCAATCAACAGGCTGCTGGCAAAGGACTGGATCCCGCTGGGATGGAGATCTGCCCACACTGGCACTTAAGCTAAGACAAGTCTGGAATCCTCTCAAGAAATATTAACAACTGACAGGTGATTGTCTGCACATGGAGGGCACAGCATCTCAAAAGTGGAGCCAAGTGGCCCTCCAAGAAGTGGACCCACTGCCCTGGCTGGCTGTGCCTTCCTAGCACCCCCCTGCAGGACTGCAGAAGGGCTCTGGAGCTAGAGGTGTGAGCCTGCCCTACCCACAGCCGGTACTGATCAAGGCCAGGGGAGGAAAGCCAGCACAGGCCCATTCAGAATCGGGACTGGCCCTGCTGTGGTAAAACTGGTGTCTGGACTGGCCACTGAGCAGCCTTCCTAGCCCAAGTGCCTGTTGTGGCAAGGGCCTCTGCCTCAGTTTCTTAATGGAGCCAGGCTCCAAAATCTCACCTGACTGGCTGGTGCCCTGATTATCTACCTTGCTCCTCTTCTGGTGGTGGGCCCAGGCCCCCAGCTCACCATCCTCAGAGACACCTTTGCCATTACCTCCTCAATCAGAAGGATCCCCTGCTGCCCCCTCCAGCCTCACTTCTCACCACAGCCCTGGGAGCAGCGAGAATCTGGCTGGAGCCACCTTCCCACAGGCTCACACCCCCACGCCTCTGCAAGGCTAGAATGAGCTTATCAACTTTGTTCTGCCAGAGAGACTCTCATTCTTTCAGACCTTGGCTCAATCATGACCTAGGCTCTACCTGTCAGGGCCCTCCTCACTTGTTCAGGTGCTACAATGCCCATCTGCAGGGGCCACTCCCTCTGGACTGAACATTCCTTAAAGACACAGGCCATGTCTGTCATCCCCCAGTGCTAGCTGGGCCTGACCTAGAGCCTGGGACTCCCGAGGTTCTGGAGATGCTTGGTGTATGTTGGGTGTTTGGCTGGAGGGATGGCCAAATGGATGAATGAGTAGAAAAGGGATAAGGGATATCGGTATGAGCTCTGCTGGAGCCTGCATCTGGATCCTTCCTATCCCTCTGCACTCCCCCCATTCAGTTCTGCAGCTGGCCTGGTTCCCACAGTCCAGTCCTGGCTTCCTAGTTCCCCTTCTGGCCTAGGGAAGACCCAGGATGGCCTGAGAAGTGACCACTCTGTCCAACCCTTCAGGCCTTTCTGAACAAACCCTGGCCAGGCTCTCTGAGGACAGCTGTGCCTGTAAAGAGCCAGGGCTAAAGGTTATCTAGAGGGCCTAGACTGATCTGATCCCACTCAGCCTCCCTGTCCTTCCTCCTTCCTACGATCTGTGCAGACTGAACCCCAGTGGGAAACAACCAGGCTTCCCTCCCTGAGCCCCTGCAATGGGACCCTGGTGGGCCAGAGGCATGGTGTTGAGTAAGTGCCACCCTCTACTCTAAGGGCAGAATACCCCTCTGTCCTGCCCTCTCCAGATCCCTCAGATGGAGACCCAAAGAAGTTGCTTCTTGGCCCAGGGACCTCCAGTGAGGTCTGGGAGTGTCTAGGAGAGAAGTGTTGACTGAGAGAAGTGGGGCCCTGCTGACTGTCACCCACCGGAATCCACTCTGTGAGTTCCTGGGGTTGACCAGGATGCAGTCCCAGGTGCGACCAGAAGTGCTGTGGAACAGAATCAGCTGCCCTTCCTCCCGAACCCGGTCACTTGATACGTAGTCAGCCACGGCCACCTCCTTCACCCGGAATGGGTTAGAGAACAAGTTGGTGACACTACTGAGGGTATTAACCAGGCGGCCGAAGAACTGCATCTTCTGTGGGGCTGATGGGGAGGCCCCACCGCCTTCCCCCTCAGTCTGGAAGAAAATGGGGTCTCTGGTCAGGTGGGCTCGGTCTCCCATGCCCACCTTACCACGTGCAGCGCTTTCCTGCACAGACACCCAGGTTACTCCCCACCAGCGCTGTCTCCCAGTCTGGGCCTGGCGGAACCTGAAAAGGAGGGGAAAGAAAGAGAAATGACATTGAGCGGAAGGTAAAGGGCGACAGAGCCCTCAGGCCAGGCTGGGCACCTAGAAGGCTGCCCTAGTATGCAGCTACGATGCACAGATGACCTTCCTGTCCACCCCTAACCCCGTGTTCCCAACAGAGACTCAGTTTCCTCATCTGTAGTGTGGGGCTGTGTTGATCAAAGGACACAGCAGAGGTGGACACATTATGAGCAGCCACGCCCTGGGCAGATGGAGGGGCTCTCACACATAAGGTATAGAGACCCTTTTTTTTGGTACACAAAGAGGTTGGTGTGAGTCATTTCAATTTCGCAAGCAAAATTAATGTTCCCTCTCTACTAGAAACCGAAAGGTGAAAGGCGACCAAGATCATAGCTTACTCCTTCAGGGGAAGGGACGGTCAGCATTTGTCTAAACCCTCTGGCGCCTGGTACCATTGACTTCCCAAGAACTCTGAGAGAGAAAAACAAAATGAGTTCCATGGAAATGAATGTCAATGTAAGGCCCTGGTAACATGTTTGGGTGGTAATTTTACACTGCATCTTCAGAGTTATAGTTTCTAGTATGGAAATTGTTTCTGTTTTTTTGTTTGTTTGTTTTGTTTTGTTTATGAGGCAGAGTCTCACTCTGTTGCCCAGGGTAGAATGCTGTGGCATCATCTAGCTCACTACAACCTTGAACTCCTAGGCTCAAGTGATTCTCTGGCCTATGCCTCCTGAGTACCTGGGACTAGAGGTGCCGGCCTTGATGCTAATTTTTCTATTTTTAGTAGACATGGGGTTCTCAGTCATTCTCAGACTGGTCATGAACTCCTGAACTCAAGAGATCCCACCTGCCTCGGCCTCCCAGAGTGCTGGGATTACATGCGTGAGCCACCACATTCGGCCTGTTCCCAGTTTAAATCATGTAATTAGATCTTGTTATCTCTTGGGTTCCCAGAAAGCACAGTGTCTTCCTAGGCACTGCCACCAAAGCAGGCAACGACCAGCTGAGGATGTCTCTGTGCCAGGACATCACGTGACAAATGAGTATGTGAAGTGGGGCGTGGTGGTTCATACCTATAATTCCAGCACACTGGGAGACTGCTGGAGATCAGGAGTTTGAGACCAGCCTGAGCAAGAGTGAGACTCCATCTCTACTAAAAGGAGAAAAATTAGCCAGGCATAGTGGCACATGCTTGTACTCCCAGCTATTGGGAGGCTGAGGTAAGAGGATTACTTGAGCCCAGAAGTTCAAGGTTGCAGTGAGCTATGATGACACCACTACACTCTACCCTGGGACTACAGAGAGAGACTCTCTCAGATACTGAGGACAAAGTACATAGGCACCCTGGGGGATCGTGGCCTATGTGTTGAGTGGAGGATCAACCTTGAGGCTAGAAGACAGACAAAAACAAGAGACATACAAAAAGTTATTGAGAAAGTGTGTAAGGGTCAATCACAATAATTACATCAGATGTTTACTGACCACTTACTATGTAGAAGGCCCTGAGCTAAGCACTTTATGTGACTGTCTCATTTGATCTCACAAAACCCCCAAGGCTCTGGAGCACAGGGCATATCTAAGAGCCAGACCACATTCAAATCCCAGGTTCTCCACCTCCTAGCTGTGTGACCTTAGGCAAGTTACTTAACCTCTCTGTGCCTCAGTTTCCTCATCTGTAACATGGGGACCATAAAAGATGGCAGATAGCAAATGGTGAATAAACATTAGCTTTCTTTATTTTGACCCCCCCCCATTATAGATAAAGAAACCAAGGCTTAGAAAACCTGACTGTAGAATTCTGAAGACTTTCTGAAGCTTTGCAACACCCTTCATTTTATGATTAGTAGTAAGATGAATGTGAGATGTAGTTTCGCTTTTAAAATGAAGACAATATTCACCTCCCATGTACAATGAGAATTGAATGGGAACATTTGTGAGAATGCTTGGACCTGTGCTGAGCTTCTTTCTTTCTTCTGCACTTGGGGACTTTAAGGACAGAGAAGCTCAGATACCTGTGCCCTTCTTAGTCAGGGCAGAAGGGAGAGACCCCAAGAAAGGCATGAGAATCGGTCCCAGGAAAAGAACTCTCCAGACTGGAAGACCTGGTACGCACATCAGTGTTACTGCCACAGGCTTTGTTATGACACAGAAATGGAAGCTACTTCGAAATTCAACCATTACAAGAATGGTAAATTATGATACATTTACCCCAGAGACACCGTGTGGTCCTTAAATAAAAATAGTGATCGTAAGGAGCTGAACAACTCAGGCAAAGCTCGCGCTGTCCTGTTACAAGGCTCAGTGACATCTCCCAGTGACACGTCCATCTGGAATGCCTTTCTCTCCTCTCCTGCCTGAGAAAGCTCTGAGCCTTCTTCAAATCCAAGTTCAGTTCTAACACTCTCCTTAAAATGTCCTTGGTAGACTGTCCCCAACCCCAGGTGCTGTCTCCCTGCTCTGTGCTGCCCCTCCCTATAAATACATCTCAGGGAGGGGATGTGGGTTACACATCCAGTGGGTTATAACGCCTTCCACCCCCGCCAGAATGAGTTTAATAATCACAGTGCCCAGCCTCCCCTGCCTTTCTGTGCTCTGGCACTATTCTGAGAGTTGTACAAAGATGGATTCATCACTTCATCTGTATAACCACCCTTATGAAATGGTCACCACTATTATCCTCATTTCATATGAGAAAAAAACCAAGGAATAGAGGAGTAAAGTAAGGTGCCCAGGGTCACACAGCTGCTGGAAGGTGGAGGGGCGAGGGCTGGAGCCCAGATGGGCTGGCTCCAGAGTCTGAGCTTCTTTTTTTTTTTAGACGGAGCCTCAAGCTGTCCCCCTGGGTAGAGTACCATGGCATCATAGCTCACAGCAACCTCCAACTCCTGGGCTCAAGCGAGTCTCCTGCCTCAGCCTCCCAAGTAGCTGGGACTACAGGCGCCCGCCACAACGCCTGGCCATTTTTTGGTTGTAGCCGTCATTGTTGCTTGGCGGGCCCGGGCTGGGGATTCGAACCCGCCACCTTAGGTGTATGTGGCTGGCGCCCTAGCCGCTTGAGCCACAGGCGCCGAGCCAGAGTCTGAGCTTCTTAAGTGCAGCTGCTTTCATCTCTGCACACTTACCCCCAGCCCACAGCTTGGTTCATAGAAAGTCTGTTAAAATAGAATTTAACTAAGTAAATATGACACATGAAAAGAAAAAAAAAAGGAAAACACAGACTGATAGAAAACATATTAAAATACTGGGCAGATGGCATACTGGATTTATGGTAATTTTTTTTCTTTTTCTTGTTTTCCAAGTGGTATATAAGGTGATTCTAAGTTTCAAAGACAGTGGCACTATAGGTTGTGCCCAGGGGGCCTGCAGCCAGGAAGATGGGGGCCAAGGGGGTCAGGCCCAGACTAGAAAATCATCAGAGGCTTCCAGATGGAAAGCAGGCACCGGCTGGGTGCTCCAGAGCACCCAGGAGCCTCAGGTAAAAGGAGGGAGTGACTGTGGGGCGCAGCAGGAAGATCCCTCGCCCCCTTCCTCAGTGTCCCAGCCTAGGTCCCCAGCACATCTACCGCAGCGTGGCCACATAAGGGGCAGACCTAGCTGGCTTCCAACCTTTCAGAGTCGGTGTGAGGATGAAACTACACAACACAGGGAGTGTCTGGGACGCCTGCTGACCATAGGCACACAAACAGTGGCCACTATTAGCACTCAGTGGAAGAAAGGAAATTAAAACCACTGGGCCACATCCTGGAACACTCACAGCATTGCCAACCAGGAAGGCGACAAGTGGGCTGACAGCACTCACATGTGCTCCCTCTGTCCTCCGCCACCCCAGGCCCCAGCGCCCAGGCTCTTCCTGCCACAGCCTCAGGAGGGGGACAGTGGGCAGAGCCCCAGCCCCATCATGCCTCCCCTCTGCCCTCCTTCCGCCTTACTCTCACAGCCTCCCACCCATTGCCCGTCCTACAGGGTAAACACTTGCCTTTACGTGCTGACCACTGGTCCCTGGCACTCCTCACCTGGGTTTGCTCCCTGCTTGCTACCAGCAGCCCAGGACATCCAGCTCACCTGACATAGACCCCACCCCCACTGCATCAGCCGACAGACACACTCTAAGACCTTTGGTGGTGAGGGATGACAGTGACAACTCTGTCTATAGATGGCAGGCAACTTGCATGTGCCAGTTTTGTCTCTTCTAGAGGCCAGATATTTTTGGCCTTTCTCCTTATTTCTCTGCTCATTGGCCCCTGTCAAAGGCCCAGCAGCTCCCTGGCCTGCTCAGTTCATGCAGGGAAGACTTACAGAGCCTCCCCCAGGGGAGCTAGAGGCAGAAAAAACATGTATTACTATCCCCCTTTCAAAGACAAAGAAACAGGCCCAGAGAGGACTAAAACTATGTGTGTTCAAAGGGTAAATTACAGTGGGACATGCTGATGTTAACAACAACAAAAAATTAACTAACAAAAAACCCTTCTGGGAAATTAAAAACACTGGGCCATGTGCTGGAACACTTGCTCACAGCACTGCCAGCCAGGAAGCTAAATTCTGTTTTAACAAACTTTCTATGAGCAACTGGGCGGGACAGTGCCCACGTGTGCTTCCTGCCCCTGGGACCAGAGGGGGATTGGAAGCAACAGGTTCAGTTCCATAGAAGTGGCCTCCTGGGTTCACAAGGTGAATAGTCATGGAGGCAGCACCCCAAGCCTCAACAAATGCACAGTCCCCCGGGAAGGACTGCTGGAGGAGACGCCTCTTGAGCTGAACTTCGAAGGAAGAACAGGAGTTTGCCAAGGAGCCACGTTCAGGAAGAAGCACAGCAGGGGTTGGGAGCTAGTGGCAGGTGGTCCAGGAGAGTCGGTCCCAAACATCTGGTTCCCAGGCTACAAATTCTCTCAATGATCCTGGGCAGGGCTTAGGCAAGACAACAACTATCCCGTCCTTAGGCGCCTCCTCACTGGCCAACATGGCCAGGCTGGGGCAGCCCGCCCCCTCCCCTTTGAAAAT